AAGCATTAGTTTGGGCTTTATTCTCAAAAATCCGTTAGGTAGATTTTCATACTGAAAAGAACAACTGCTAAAATTGTGCAAAGTTGATCAAACGTAGAAATTGAGCAGTTCTTCGGCTACAACTTGATACGGAGCTCCGTCTAAAGTTCGACATCATTGGAAAATTCGTGTGATTGTAAAATCGTTTGCCATTACTTACGAAAGTTTATGATCCTATCCAGCTCAAAAGAGTTTTGATCGTGGTTTATGGGTACGTTCCATAATCCGTGTGACTTAAGCAATCGGCAATTCGTATGCCGCCACTTTAACTTTGTATGGCATCGTTAACGTCTTGGGGGTTCAGTCTCGGCAGCGGTAAAAAAACGGAAACGTTTTTCAGCTTCCAATCTTTAGATAATGTATTTTTTCCCTTCAACAGGGTTAAAAATATCACAATAACATTGCAAACTGAGCTACGTGAGTAGTACTATGAGAACGTATGAAACAAAAAGTTGACCGGCGAAAAGTTACTTACTGCATATTGTTCAATTTCAATTCACGCCTTCAAAAAAACGTTGGATAATAGACGAGAACAACATTAATTATAAATAATAATATTAAAATTACCATCCTAAAATAACCTGGTGGCCTTGTACATTCACAATGATTTATTTTTAAATATTCTTATATTTAAAATTCCAACAATATTTAAAATGGGTCTGGAACTACACCAATAAATTTATTTTTTAAATTTATTTAAATTCTTAAATTGTTTTACATAATCGTGCTTCTAGCTTTTATTTATAATTAATTGTTTAGTTTGGCCCTGAATTTAGTGGAATATTAATTTATGTTATTGACTAATTATATGTTTGTGAAATAGTTACTACTATGTTGCATTAGGACTTATCCAAAATATTTTCATATTCAGGGTTTCATCCTTTTAAGGCAGGGGTTATCAAATAATTATATGACTTGATTCAATGCAGTGGTGCGCAAATACATTACTTTTTCCCAGTTGAGAATCGCTTTCATGTGTTTTTCAAGATATCGCCGGGTCGCCCTATGTATCACCAGAAATATTTATATGCCACTCCTGAGAATTAAGTGTAATATCCGAACATTGTACACGATTGTCATGGTCACCCACAGTGATTATCTTCTTTAGTCACCAGCCTGCACTGAATGCGTTTTTTAAATTGATCATTTTGGTCGATATTTCTAAGATGTAAGGGAACCAAAAATATGAAAATAGCACCCGATTTTGGCTCTCGTTGGAGGCTGAAAAGCGCTCTTCACTGTCCAAACCAAAGCCCCATGACTTCTTCAATTGTATCGGTCAAGACATTATCTCGTAGTCAACTTTCACAGCAAATTCAATTCGTTTGTACTATGCAACTCAGAGAATTCGATTGTCTATTAGATCGAACATTTCTCAGATGTTGTGTTTCTTGAAGGATAGCTTCTTGATGAAGTTTTGAAATTGTAATAAATTGTAAGATTGAACAAGCAAATTTAGAAACTAACCACGAATACGGTGTAACCCTGACATTATTGTAAGCAAATACTTGCATCTGCCTGGATGCCTGGCCGCCGATGCGATTTTCTAGTAAAGCATTCATATACACAATTTTTTTCAACTGGAACATTTCTGTTCAAAGTTCAATCAAAGTTAGTTTGATGTCAAAAAGGGCCTTTAAGGCCTGCTCGCCGGACCTATCGGGTTCTCCCACACTACTACTACTACAACTACTACTAGTTTGATACTAGTAGTCTACCAAGTGACTCTAAAATTTTTTGAACATATCGTTGAGTAAAGTAGAAATTGCATCTTCGAAAGCAAAATGTTTCAAGAAATAATCTCTTAAAATTTACAAACTATTTTTACTTCTTCTTGAACTGTAAACAGCAAATAAGCAGAATACCGAAATAGTACGTTTTCGGTATCTTTTGAAAGTTCGTCGAGACCTTCCGCAGGAATAAGGACATTTAATTATCACCATGTATTTATAATAAAATTTAGAGTAGAAATAACAAATAGCACAATTTACAAAAGATGCCATATATGCCATATAAGCAAGGTAAATGATACATTTTATAGATTTTTTCATGCCAGTTAGTTACTGATTATTCACTGCATGACTTCTGGGATCTTCAAAATCGAATATGCTTTCAATTTTTGCAATTTTCCGAATATTTATGTTCAGCTAAATTCAGTGTATATGATCATTAATTTGCAAATCTGCGCACAGCCGGCTGGTAAATAAACATGATTGAAATCCTGGATTTGCTATAATTCCCTGCTGCTACTAGAATAACACGCATTTCTCAGTAATATCAGGTGTTCGTTCAATTACTGGATCTGATGTATTTAACAAGAGCCAAATGTTATTTTAGAGGCTATTCAGCTACTCCATTATCCCCGTCATCTACATGTTGTTTAATTAATTTGCAAATGTTTGCAATGGAGTGATGGTTCAATTGTCATTTCTATTAGACACGGTATATTGAAGTGATTTAAAATTGGCGGTATTTTGTTTAATGAAACCATTAATGTTCTTTCATTAAACATTAATCACATTAATGTTCATCAATGTTCTTCCTGCGTTTTGCAAACGCAAAACGCAGAAAGAACATTGAAATCGGTTCCTTTTGAGGACGAGCTTCTTAGTTAAACGAGCAGCAAGTGAACACCCTATATATAAATAATTTTATATTTTAATTTCTCTTTCGGTTCTACGTCTTGAATTTGTTGATTTACACGTAAAGTTATCGATGTTTCCCAGCAATGCTAACAGGAACATGTAATTTGAACGTGCGAGTAAAAGTATCACTGCCACTCACACGTATTAGTGTTTTATTCGCAATTTTTGTGAGAATCAATTGCAAAGGAATTTTATATGTGCTTCCTAAATACCTTAAGAAAACACCTCCAATGGAATGATAACACATCTCAATCACATTGTATATATACATACTTTTAAGTTAAGAGACCTCTTTGAATTAGGAGCACCTCAATAAAGAAAATGGAAGACTCGACCATAGAGCCTTGAGATTGTTAACCCCGTGTTTACGAGTATTTCTTCACCGCCTAAAGACGACATCAAAAACCTTTTGTGTTACCATTACGAATAATAGCCTCATGCCATGCTAGCTTTTGAAGCAAAACGACTTTTCCAAGAACAGCCTATTTATTTACTTGGTAATTTTCTCAACGAATCCTAAATTGTTATTGTATTCAGTTTTATTTATAAGCGTATAGACGAAGTTACGGTTATTTTTAGTAAAAAATTCCACCACACCAATAGTGTGATTAATATTAAAATCAACAAATAAATGAAACCGGTGTCAAGGTTAAGAAAGGGAATAATGTTACCACTGTGCCCATTTGTAGCTGCTAACAATAAATTCCCTCGACGTGCTAGCTGTACAGGTTGTATCGCAAACCTGTACCTCCATCTGAAACTTGAAAAAGCGGCCCTGCTCTATATATCTAAACTGTTTCAAAATAAAATTTGCAAGATTCGGTTATAGCGGCAATAGACATCAAGCCGGTTTATTTAAATGGGAACTATGCCTTGTATATTACCATCAAATTAAGTTCTTTCAAGGATTCTGAACCTTTTTTTTAGTTAACTTGCACCCCGTCTCTAGCAGTTTGGGAAATATATGCACTGTAATAAATGACAAATACCGTTACCACTACTGCTCAAATGACAAAATATTCTGCAATGCGAATTTGGAAAGTCGTACAAAAAGGCGAAATTCATCTAGGCGAGTAAGAACGCAACGTCTTAATTTTTACAGATTGCTTCTAAAAATATGTCAAATTTGCTATAAAAACTTTAGGAAAACTAACAGCTAATTATAATTACGTTACAATTTGAAAAACGTCAGTTTTTCTAAGATTTTAATTGGAAAATTTTACAATTTGTTAAACGTTATCCATATAATACTTTATACACAAAAACTGTTCGGAACTTTCATTCAGGACAACTTAAATTTCAGTTTTTTTCATTTCAGTCATTGAAACTGGCGACTTTGTCGAGCTATTAGGTCGTAGTGGGAAATAATTTCATCCTAAAATTTTGCATGCATAAGTGGCTTCCATCTTCAGAGGTGGTTGCTGCACCGAGCAAACCAATTGTGCCTCTGAAGATGCAAACATCTCGTACTTGCGAAACGTCAGAAATAAATTATTTTCAACGACCGCCTAAAAGCCCGAAAAACACGTCAGTTCGAAGCTGAATGGTATTATTTGTTACAAAAGTTACGTGAATGAGTCAACTGATGGTCTCCAGCAACGTGATTTTCAGCTAGTGATTGCAATCTCATATAAAATTCAGTCGGGTACTCCGTCACGTCCTTACTAAATTGAATTTGCGTCAATTTTACAGGTGAACCATGCGGACTCAATTGACTCACCGAAAGGAAAATTACTTGAGCAGAAGCTGCGCTAATCAATACCGGCCCCGAAAGGCTTTCTTACAGCAATTAAGGGCACACCCTGTACATTGTTTCCAATAAGTACTTGACACGGAATGTTGATTTGATTGATTGATGAATGACGATTTGTTTTTGTAAGTATATTATTTTCGCAATTGGTTTTGTTCCGAAGTGTCGAGGTGCGTGAGGCATGTAATTTGCGTATTGATTATGTATGGGTATAGGAAATGGAAAACTAGCCAATTTTCCAATGTATTAAGAAAATAATTAGAATCGGCAAATTCAGAACTAAACGAAATCAACGAGAACCGGAAAATATTAAGGGAGACAAAATATCTAGTTTAGATATGTTTTATTATTCACTAAAATAACAAGCGACAAGAGTTGATATGACGATGTGTAAAACGTGATTATAAACTCTAACTCATTAATTATAGTCAAAAACGATATTTAAAATTCGATTCAACTATCTGTTGTTTGAAGGCGATTCAATAAAGTACGTTAGGGTCAATCATAATACGAGACACGCATAGAAACTTATCGGTTCATTATTCTCAATAACACAAGTCATATTAAATAGTATAAATAATATCCGATCAGCTAGCATTACAACATTACAAAATGGAGTGTCTAACTAAACTATTGGTGCTGTGTTTTCTGGGAATGGCATCCTGCGAACCAGTCTGGCGCAGTTACGGACCACCACCGAAAGAAGAAACTGAAGTAGAAATCCAAAAAGTCGAGGTAAGTGAAATACAATTGGAAAAATTTAATAGACCCTGTTAACTAATCGAATTACTTCCAGAGTAAAATATTTTCCATGTAAATAAAGTTACTCACCTTCATGCGATTTTAGGCAAAATCTTTTTCCAATATAATTAAAATCTTCCCGTTCTGAATTCAAATATCGGATGTGCTTCTATAGAAATTTAAGCGGTGCATCCTCCAAAGGGAAACGGATTTTCCTACAATTTTCTAGTTGCAAAATTGTTTGTTCAGAAATTGTTTCAACTCTCGATACCTATGTAAATAAATTCGGTGCGGCTAGGAACTCCCAGATATTTGTTGAGTGATTTTTGAAATAATAAAAGAATAATCCCATTGGTTCTGTGGTTTGAAATTTCGCTTTAAGAACAATTTTTTACAAAAGGTTTTTTGAGGAAGACAAGAATAATTAAATTAAATTAAAAACATATGTTTTCGTGTCCATCCAGTGTTAAAAACATTTTCAATTTGTAAAGATATTTATTAATAACCGGTTCTGCAGCGTTTTCAAAACACTTTAATTCGAAAATTGTTCTCGTAAATGGAGCAAATTATTCAACGGAGACTTTCTATAAGTTATTCCTTTTTTTTTTCTTTTTTCGCCTCAAAATAAAAATTAGTTGGGATTGTTTGGCGAAATACAGTTAAAGGTCGAATTTTTTATTTGGACACCCATGTAAACATTAAATTACCATAAGGAACGTTGGCAACTCGACACTTACTAGCGTTTTTATAGGAAAAACAAACCCCGGATTATAAGTGAATTTGCTCAATTTTACGTGTCTCCCATATCATATTATCCTAGTGGCAATTTTGTGTTAATAATCTTATAAATATATGCGGACTATGCCCAATAATTATTGCTGCTTTCTCCTAAGTTGCATAGAATTGTAGAAAAAAAATGCATTGATTAATTATATGCATTGCTTAATAAATGCATTGATTAATAACAAACACAACGAGTAGTGTTTCAGAATCCTAATAATAGAAATAAACTTTAAGTATATCTGAAAGATTTCTATGATGATAAGTTTCTATATGTTGGCTATTGCTTTTCGCGGGTATTTAACAAAGCCACCATTCATCTAGGTTTATGAGGTACCGTGGATAGGAGATCAACAAGCTGAAACCAATAACGTACCGCCATCGCAATATGGTCCACCATCACCATCCTATGGCCCACCGCCTCAAGAAGTCGTACCGCCTGATGAAGTTTCCATAACTACCGAGTATCCCAGTACTACCACCACAATTCTTCAAGACAACGCTACTAATTCTGCTGAAAATAAGACAGAGAAATTACAAATTTCCAGCGAAAAATTAACTGAGGGACAATATTATATTTACCATCCTACTGGGTTACTGCAGAAGGTTTCTTACATTACTAAAGATGACGAGAGAAATATGGCTTTCTCTGCTCAACTTAAATACAAAAACGTTGATCCCGTTCGAGGACCTATTTATACTTACGATCCTAACACTTTTGTGTTTTCGAGATTGAACAGAAAATAAACGCGAAGTAGTTTTATTGTATTCTCATATTTTCAGTTTTTCAGGAGACTTGTTCTTTAGTTCGGTTGCTTGTGAGGCTTGTGATATTAATTTATTGGTGAGTGTTGTTATCTCTCTTGTTGTAGCCGTGACTATATTTTCATAATAAATTATTCACTTTTAAGATATGTTTTTCTCTTATATTCCTTATTTAAAAACATTGAATTAAATTTGCGATTCGTTAAAAATAGTTTGATTATTTTAATATTACTGCAAAATATTAAAATATTTAAATATGATATTGCTGAAATATAGAATCAAATTTACAATAAATAATATATCCAAAGAGTAAATTAGAAATGTAGTTTTTAATTTCTTAATTATTTTTGGAAATAAGAGTTCTACATAGGATTACCAAGCGAATCGCATAAGCATGGGAAGGTTCTTGTTCAAGAGGCTTTCGAAAATACTAATGTAGAAACTCTCATTGTTTAATAAACAACTAAATGAAATATCCGCGATTGTGTTTTTTTATAGAAATAATCCCCTATTGCTAGAATGTACCTTTTGCCATTCACAAAAATCTATCATGGAATATTTAAAAAATATGCGGCCTGCGTCTACTTTAGCAACGTCGGTCACTTTGAAGAATGTCATAGAAAAAGGAATGTGGTTATAACGATTGCAAGTTATATGTTTCTAAATACTCTGGAAACTTGTTGACGTGAAGTTGCAAACAGTAAATTTACTTCTTATTTTACTTATTTTTAGCGCTCGAATATGAGCTACAGATTTTTCGGATTCGGGCCACCACTTTAAAATCGTGGAAATGTTACTATTGTTAGATTATTTTTTGTGTTGTATTTGATTACAAGTGGGATTTCCAGTAGGCCATCACGGAGTTGCAACTATTCTATTTTAAAAATTGCTAATCTTTCAAAGTGGCTCATTTACGTATCGTAAGAATGCGATTATATACTGCCGGGTTGTTTTTATTGTTGATTTTGATTACTAGTACCAAAGTTGGGTAGGGCTGGTGAATATTATTGAATTTAAAAATTTTTTGGGATTTTGTTTCAGTGATTATTGTTTTCTTTAATAATGCGATAATGTAATGTGCGTATCAGAAATAAAAAGTGAATCAAGTCTAAAAAAAGTTTAGTGGGAAAACTTACTTACGCACTTTATTAATTTATAAAAGATCATTCGGTTAATTGCTAATGAAATGCAACTCAGATCGCTTGTTATTAACGTCCAATATACAATACACCTGTTTTTCGGGAGTACATGAAAGAATCGACTATCGTACCAACAAATGGCAATGCTTCTCTGTTGTCTTGCGATTTGCCCTACTTATATGTTAGTATTAAATGACAGGCTTAAGCGCATTAACTCCAATAAGACACGACTGTCCGAGTTTCATATTCGGTTTATGAGGCAATAAACTTAGCGCTTTTAATGGACATATTTCGGACCGAATGCGCGAATGCCGAAGACAGGGTCCATCGCGCCTGATATTCATGAGAGTCACTAGCTTGCGAAGAGCAATCACTCTGAAAATACGCTTGAAAAGAGTTTCAGATTACGAGCATTCTGATTTTTGTTCCCTCTTATTTTCTCGTTGATTATTTGCGCCATCATCTTCTGTTCGTTAATATACCATTTATCAGAATCGTCACTTTCTCCAAAATCTAGCAAGATTCGTATTATTTCATGGCGTTAATTCTTCTACTTTAATTGGTGGACGGACCTATTTCGAACGGCTACCGTTATTGAATAGAGGTCTAAACAAAATTCGTGCTATCATCCATTTTAACTTAGCATTTTTTAATATTAACCAAAGATCAGGTTAATATAATAATAAGGCTTAAGTACTAACCATATCATAGATATATGAGGGTAACACATATTTGACATTTGACACACACAGAGGCAACAAATATTTGCTTGGTTGCATGGTTGACGTGATTCCTCATTACGAAAATTATTAAATGGTAATTTTTCCAACTAGAAATGTAGCTTAAGTTGGGCCAATCGTTTCCCAAATGATGTTTTTAAGAGCTTGGATCTTTACAAAACTGAATACGTTTTATGTACTCTTCAAACGAGCCAGTGTAATTTCTATAACTAAATTAATCCAATTTTTATCTATTTTGTATCGTTATGATAAATTAAGATAAAATTAAGCAATACAATTTTAAAAAGTACATGAAAGTGCTTACTTTCCACGGACTTAGCGATTGTGTCTGTGCAAATAGATACAATAGAAATGTTTATAGAAAATAGACAAATGTTATATATGCATTTCGCCAATGAGAAGCTTCTTTCTGAAGCGATATGGCAACTTTTGTTCTAACAAAGCAATTTGTTATCAAATTTGCTGTTTCAAAATTCACCCAATCCACACAAACTTCTAATATTTTCATGTTTTTATTTAATACTTTAAATTGTTTATACACCTTAAATGCTATTTTAAATTAATAATATTGTATACAATCACAATGCACATGCACAAATACCGCAAAATAGTCTGGTATGCCATCAAGAAGATGTAATAAATATCTTTACATTTCGAGAAGTCACGGAAAATAGTCAATATGCAATAATTTCAAATACTTTTTCATCTGGTGTATTCTGGTCCATTTGGTGACATGTATGTTTGGTAATACAACTCAAACTTACGATTCTGGAAAACTTAACGCAAAACTACTATAATAATTCTCAGCGGAAATGCATCTTTGGAAATATGAAACAAACACTCTTGCACGAAGTATTCGGTTTTGGAGCTTCGAGTGAACGAATAAATTAAGATCAGTTTTTCTATTCGATGTATTCGATCAGCAGATTCATAAGTAACCTGCATTCACTTCAAATTGCTCTACTGAATTGTATTGGCACAGAATTTTAATGGCTCTACTCTACTAAGTAAGTAGCATTTATATTATAAATACTTACAGCTACGCCGGTAGGATTGTAGGAAATATTTGTTTGCAGTTAGTGAATACGACAGTTTTAACACTTTATGCACAAATTCATTCGAATTTAGTTGCAAAAATTAGTTACGCATTTTTGCATATTATTGTGGCAAACCGAGAATGAAGCGCTGAAATACAAAAGTGGTCGGATCATAAGTGTAAACGGGCTCCATAATAGGATCAACATCGGCATTGTTTATTTGTGTGGAGGACTGCATATACTGTGGATCATCCCACGTACTATAAACAACCTTTTGAAAAAGTCCGCTGGGATGGATTATATAGTAAACCCCTGAAAGAAATATACGAGAAAACTTTATTTACTTTCGAAACTTTGCGACAGCAAATTAATATATAGTTTTGAAAGAAAATGTAATTACATTTAGTCGGCTGCTCCATAGTACTAGCAAGAAAGCAATTACTTTAAATTTAACGACTCTTTAACGATTTAACGTCGTCTCTGTTTTATCTGTTAAAGTTTTCTTTGTAGATACCTTGATTATTTAAGTCTTCTAGCTCATACTCTACTTCATCCAAATTTTCAATTATCTTTGCGTCTGAATCTGGCGCAATTGTAGCAAGGCTTTTCTTTTTGCCCTCGTCATCATGTTGTAGTTTATCCTTTAACAACTGTCCACGTTGCATACCGGCAAAATTAATTTGCTCAGATTCACGTTCTGTTGTCAATTCTTGATGTTCGGCTAGTGAAATAGATTCAGCATCAGAAACCACTCTCGAATTTTCTGTAACTGAATGTGAAAATATCTATTTATCTTGTAAGCAGCTTTTCTAAGCGATAAATCGCCCAATCGATTGGCATTCTTGTTAGCAAGCAACTACTAAGATTTATCGATAAAGTGGATGACCGCGGAATTGTTTCTCAAATTAGCAATTACTTGTGGCTGGAAGTATTGATTTACGGAACTGATAATTCGGAATCAGCCCGATTATACTAGTACTGTAAGACCGCGATGAATTGAAGTTGCACATAGTGAGTGAAAAACACTAATAAAATTTACATAAGAAAAATTTTATGATAACAGTATTATCAATAAAATATAATTGGAAAATCGAAAATTTTTAATTTTCATAGAAGTTCAATTACAACATGCTTTTTAAAGTATCTTTAACTCTATATGGTTTTCTTAATTATTTAGTCTTACATTATTAATCGCAAAGGGCGACAAAGATAGGACTTTAACTACCAACGACATAACGACGAAAACAAGAACGAACTGTTTTAGTTTTCCTTGCTATTTTAATTTTATTTAAAGGGGTGCTGTGGAAGTGAGCTTTATTACAACTGCTGTCTTACCTTCTTCTTTATGTGTCTCTTCCGCCTTTAATAGGGCTTTATTGCCATCGGATGTTTTCCATTGAGTTTGGAATCGAACTTTAGCGTAAGACTCGCTATATGCAGGTGGTTGGCATAAACTAACCGATACTACAGCCAGGGTTATCAGAACACTGAAACATATACTCATTTTACTTGTTTGCTTGTTGGCGAAGAAAATTTGCTAAACTAAAACTTTACTAGTTTTTTTTAATGATTTTTATACATGTATGCAAAACCTTTACGTGCAATGTGTTTGTAATGTGCGAGGCTTCCTGTTTGGTGTTTGACATTGGTTCGAATGTCCGACATTGCATAAAGAAAAGTGTGACTAAGAATATTAAATTGTGTTTCAAAAAAGTTTAATTTTCGAATGATTTTATGCAAATTGTACATTAAAATATTTTCGCAGCTGCTTTTTCAGTTTAATGAGAATTTCTGTTCAAAAATAATATGAATCGTTGACTATCAAGTCGTTCCGCAGAAGTTCCGCCTTAGTATAAACCACAAAGCACAGGTTAGCTTTCAGTCGCAATTCTCTTCTGGCTTTTTTATTATTTGCCGTACTTCTCCATGTCCTCTCTTGTCCCTTTCCTCGGGACAAATCCTGATTGGTGATCTGCAATCTCTTCTTTTTGCTTGTGCACTTCTCCCATTGCTTTAGTTCTTTCAGCATTTATGATGTTTGGTCCCGTAGCCTTTTTATCTCCAAGTTCTCTGATAGCTTTCTCTACCTTGGTCTTAAGAATACTCCGCTCAATTTCATACTATCTATTGTCTGAAAATTAGCCTTTTAAACATTTTCGGATGCAAAGCGTATATTTTTTTAAACCTTTCGATTTTGTTATCAGTTTTTTTCCTTTCAGTAGTTACTTATGACCCATGCTTTGTTTTTGTTTTTACAATTTATTATTTTTAGTTTACCAATGCTTAGAATATTTTTTTTTTAATAAACTAAATCATTATTTATCATCACTATTTCTACCATTCTCATCATTGCAGATTTTTAATGAAAAAATTAAAAAGTGCGATGTTACTTTTGAAACCGCACTTTGGAACCTATTACCAAGGTAGAACTGCAACGTTGTAACCTATTCTCGAAAAACAACTGTTTAGCACACCTCTAGCATGCATGTTAGATATGTAACTCAATTACAGTAGTGCTATGCACTATTATGTTACTTTCACCGAAAAGCCTTTCTTTGCAAATTTGTGTCTGTGTATCGCGAATTAAGTTTTCTATTCTACAGTAAAAAATTGCCAGTGTTCCCCAATATATGACAAAACTCCATTGTCTGAAGTTTTACGCTTTTAAATGATGTTAAGTTTTTGATCCTTTTATGATTGCATTAGTTACTTTTCAGCTCGAACTTGTTGCTGTTACTTGTTGAGGTATATTGTTCGCTGTTATTGTCGTCCGCTAGTCAGAAAGTTGTAAGTGCTGCTTACTGTTCATTCAAAGATAAGAATTTTCAAGAGAACTCTATACAGGTAACAAAATAAAATTCAAATATTTATTAAAAAGGAAAATAGCTGCTCTTAGGCCTTGCAGAAACGACATTGACTGCTGTTCAAAATGTGTTCAGTCAATTGCGCAAAAGTCGAGACTTTGCTCACTTGGTAGGAAACTTACTATTAGAATCTATGGTGTTTTGTTGTGTTACAGAACAAAATCGTACATTCTCCAGATGTGATAATATACTGCAACATTTTCGAATAAACTGCATAACATAAGTTAACACGCAAAAAATATTAATCTCCATAAAATTGTTCGATCATAATTGATCGTTGTAAATAATTGATTAGAATTATATTACTAATAACAGAGTAAAGTGACAAATATCAATTAATTAATTGTAGTACTCAAACTTTCAGTCCGCTCCAATCGACAGTCAGCGCTGATTATAAGTCGATAGACTTTATTTCAAAATATCAAAAAATTTTAAACGACTTTTCAAGTCTACAAAATTGCATATTATACGAAATGCGGTAAGGAATACAGTTATATGCATTCTCACCGTTCACACACACATAATATACGACAATAAAAGATAACATTTTCTGGAAACATCATTGAAATTAGAAACCCAAAGCCCTAAAAATGTTCAGCTTTTCATAAGAATTATTTTAAGAAGTTACGGCTGAAAAATTTGGAATAAGCCGCAGGATGAAACAAAGTAAATATCCATGGAATCTCCAGTTCATTCATATAATCGTCACGTATGAGTACTAGGTCAGGAACTTGTCCGCCTTTGATTGTTTGGCCTTGCGGTCTCGCATTTGCCTCTACGTTAGTAGAAAATTGATGTGACAATGCGTTTTTTATTCTTGACCTAATAATTAGAGGACTTGGTATTTGTTTGAGGTCTCAGTTGTCTCTGGTGTACTGAGTCGCAACAAATTTATTTTTAAAAAGTTCGGCAGCTTTTGTGCTAAACTTGGAATAAGTAAACATCTATCTATGAGAATTTGAGCACAATAAAGCTGCATGGAATTATCCTTTGACAGTCTAGGCAAGATAAGCGACTAAGATATTATTAAATTGGAAATTCGCTGCTTTATCAAACAATGTTATGCAATATTATTTTAACCCAGTTCCTTCACTTTGAGATTTCCAGTCACGGAGTCATAATAGCATTTCAGGCAAAATAAATATAATTACCCAAATGGGATGCTGGATAAAGATTCTCTAGTTAGCTGCACATTTTCATACGACTAGTGTTCTTTTGGGCATTATCGCGGTATCATTCATTAAATTTAATTTATCAAAATTTCATAACTTTTTTCGTACTCGTGTAATATGTTGTCTGAAATAACAGTCCAATGTTTCTACATGAATTAAATATTCTTGTTTCATATGGATACTTCGGTCTGTTTCTCAGACAAATTAACTAAATGTACATGTTAAGTGGTCTCAAACAGCACAAAGACATCTTAAACTTCTAAAATAACGTCTCTTGTAAGGTCTCTTATAAGGTATTCACAAGAGATCTTATAATAGATATTTATACTTCCTAGACTCAAGTCGTTTTAAAAGCGTCCTGTGTCAGGCATTTACAAGACGTCTTGTAGTAGGCATCTTTACGCTGCATTAAACACTTCAAGTGACATACGACTGTTCTGACATAACAACAACATACAGCAGACGTCCTGCAGAAGTCTTGTGATGTCTGGCGTGCCCATTGACGCCGTAGTATCTCCAGTTTCTTGATTTTCTATTATTAATGAATCACTCTGTATATTATTATTGAAATTACATTAAACCATTTCCTTTATTTTTGATCATAATTTTTAAATTTTTCCTTAGCGCTAAACTTATTATGAGAAACAAGCCTGCAAAATTATCTGAAATTTAATATATTTAGTCAAAAAATCTCGATATTTAACATCTAAGAAAAATCTTCGAAATACGAATAATATACAACTCATTAATAATAAATAGTAATAATACAATATTTTGACGATAATGGTGAAATTTTGTACCTACTATACCCAACTAGTATTTACGTATGTATTATTATATATATCTATACAGGGTGATTCAAAATTGGCGTCATTCCTCTGGAGGTGTTGTCTGACGCTGTTATAGGAGTACAGAAAAAATAGTAAAAGAAATTAATTGTTATTAAAACTAACATGGTAGTTTACGTACAAACGTGGTAGGAATGTAACCCTTCCTCGGTATTTATTTGGTGCTTGGCAAAGTGTTAGTTATTGTGCTCTGAGTGCCCCTGGAAGGCCCTGATTCGATTATGCCCAATACTTGTTCCTCTGTGTCTGGAACCCGAACATCGATTGTCGTCCACTATCTTCCTGGAGCCACTCTCCTCGCCCTTTGTTGGCGTGAGTTCTTTCAGCTCCTGCTATGTTACTGTAGCATTTCCCCTGAACTAAGCGCATATCCGAAAATTCGTGAAAGAAAATTCAAAGTAAGTCACAGTTTGACAAATATATATATATGTATACATGTATATGTGTAAAGTAAGAATTTTTATTTTATACAGTGATTCAGAGCTACCTGATCAAACTTCTAGGGATTCTACACTGCAAGTGGAGAGTATTTATGTAAGAATCCACCTCATGGACATCCAAAGCAGTTTTTTATTAGGAACTGGCTATTTTCACTACCTTCTGGGTAGGAATTGAACATTTTTCTCAGTCAGTAATCTTACAATAATGAGACGTTTTTTCTAACCTTTCTCCAGCAAGTAAAACGGACTGCTAGTGAAAGTTCTTCGACCATGCTAACACAAACAAACTAACTCAAAATCAACAGAAAGTAAAAAAATAAGAAAAAAATCCGTGGCAGCACCGCATTGTGCTGAATTCTGGAAAGAAACAAATAATCCCCCGTCTGAGTATCGACGCGCTAGATAACCTCAATCAATTGGCTAGGTTAGAAAAGATATTGGAGTTATGAATTGCTGATACCTAAAACACGATTTAGCAGCATAAAAGCATCGGACAATCTCATTTTATCATTTCTTAAATTCACAAAATAGTAACACAGCATTTGGCCAAAAACTGCTTGTTGCAGTTAGTATTAATAACATTTTTTTTTCATTGTCATTTTGTGAGCATCTTTGCCATTTTTTATCATGTATTATTTAATTAAAAATGATAATTATTCTCTTAGTGAAAATAGGTATGTTCTACATAATTCTTCGGATTCGGATTCCCACTTTGAAACCTAGCTATCTAAAGATCCGTAATTGAGATAGAAATAAGGTTTGATCCTAGATTGAACAATCTGCCAAAGGTTCTGCTTTGTCCGTGGTTTGCAGGCAATAAGTTTGATGAGCAGCTTAATTTTTTACGTTGTGTTTTATGGACAGATAGGGTAGGTTCACACGAGATATGACTGGTATTGTTGATGATCATATGTAGCAGTCAGGATTGATATATACAAGACCACTAATATAGTTCACTTAATTTTGATACGTCGGAAACATACTTCTCCAATAACAAATTGCTAATAATTCAAGACACACAATTTGAACATATATTTTGTAAACGCAGTTGGGGCGCCGCTGCTAAAACTAATTTAGAAAAAAGGAGAAAAGAACAAAGGTATAGCAAGCGAAGGTCTCTCACCTTGCGGAGCACATGCAAGGGGATACTCTTTGGAGAAACCGTAAAACAGGCAATTTGCCCCCGACGCGCCATCGTATTAGGAAGCCGGGAAGGAAAAAGGCTCGAATGGCCCAAGGGTCCGAAATAATTTTATTGGGTGGAGTATCCGCTTGATACAAACAAATTAGTTTCTGTAGTGATGTGGTTAAAACCTAGTATATTATGGTTACATGCACGATAAATATATTGGTGTAACATAGATATGGCGCTTTGGTAGATTAAGCGACACTCTACTACTAACAGATTTAATAATTTGATTACCCAGTTAGTTAGAGCAAATTCCAATTTTTGAATCTCTTATGTTATAACTTGCAAATATATTTCTTGATAGGCATTATCTCCATTAGGTCCACTAAAACTTATATGAAGTAGTTTGAAGGAAATCTGTGGCTAAAATTATTCAGATCGTCGGAATAAAAATAATAAAACATGTAAAAGTTTATAATAAAGTAAACATTAAACTGACAAAAAAAAATTAGAACCAATATTGTGCCATTTGTTTGATTTTTCTCCAGATATATTTTTTCGGTAAAGCACGTTAGTCTTAGAAGAATTACGTTCGATAGGACACTTTGGCTACATTGATTAGTGGCTTTGGCTACCTTCTTTTTTCCATATGGCTTTAGTGAGGTTTTGTAGATGTGTTATCATAGTATCGCCACCATATTTAAGAAGTTCGGCTGCCATTAGGGAGCTCAATTATTTTTTAATTTCTTTATTGCTTTTGTAATTTCCTCTTTAGAAAAGTTCTCACTGGGTTGTTCCACAGCCAGCAGATCCAGTGCTTCCCCCTCTTCATCAGTTTCTACATTGAGCACATGTTGAATGCAGTTTTTTCACGTTTGCAATATTTCTACTTTATGGATTATTAGATCTCCATTTTTCTTCTTTAAAGTATTATCGGTCCTGGGTCGGCATCCTGCTTTTTTAGAGCGTAATATTTTGTAGAATGTTCTTGTGTTAGTTTATCTTCTTCTTCTAGTGCAATTAATTCTCTGTCTTGCTATTCTCTCTTGTTTTTTTAATAGGTTTTTTTCTAGGGTTCTTAGTCGTCTGAACCTTTCCCTGTTCTCTTCTGTGATACTTTTTAGCATTTTGAGTCTTGCAGTATTTTTCTCTTCTCCATGGCATCTTCTCAATTGTCATCATAACAGTAGTTTTTGTGTGTCCTCCTGGGTTTCTCCCCTACAACCTTTCTAGCTGCTTCTGTAATTATTCCAGATCAAACTTCCAATGCGCTTCCATATCAGTATTGTATGTGGTGTTAGTGTTTTCTCTGACAAGTCGCTCTAATTCTTCCTGATACGGTGACACGTAAGGTCGTAGTGGTCCAGTTTTCTTTTCCGTCATTTTTTATTCCATTTTCGCATTCAAATCTCCCAGGACAAGTTTCAGGTCCTGTTTGGGAAGTTGGGCTAGTTTCCTCACTAAAGTGTAGTAAAACATATCTTTTATACTCTAATATTTGTCTTTGGGTGGTGCATGCACCGATATAACCGAGTAGTTGTAGAAAGTGCTATTCATCCTAATATAGCACATCCTGTTACCAAGTGGCTCGAACCTTAAAACTGAGTTCAGCAGAGATTTCTTGAAGTCAAAATCTGTTCCAAAAACGTACGTTTTGGTCATCGGGTCATTGCCACTATAGAAAAGTACTGAATTCCCAACGTCAAGATGACCCACTCCACGCCACCGTATTTCTTGCAGAGCGGTGATATCCAAAGGGGGTTGGGACCGCCTACGGCATAGTTTGTTGAAAAACGTTTAACTTTTTGTAGATGGGCAACCCTACAGAAATGAACCCATAGTTTCTGCACAATATTTGATAAACCGATGTGTATAATCTCCCAAAAAAACGGGAATTGGAATTTTTCACAACCTAGTCTAGAAGTCAATCTTCGCAGTATATGGACCATCTTCGTTACAGCAACAGCTTAGCGTAAATGTGGTGATATGTGCTTCCATTAATAATGTTATTTCTAGTAGTAACTTATGAGGATGGCTCATTATTTCCTTATCGTTTATAGGCCCTTCTTACACACATTTCTGGAAAACGGTTTTCTCGTTTTGCTTGAAGATAACTTCCTAACTTTGCGCGAACAGAGCTAGATACACTTGGATGCTGCTACTACGTATCACGGAGAGCAAGTCTAGCAGTTTTTGCATTATTATAGGAGGAAAATTCTAATTGAATAATAATAATGTTTAATTTAAAAAGACTTTCTTCTTCGAAGTTGAAAAATCTGGTCTCGTAAAAGTTACCTATCTTACAGTAAGATCTTAACGCACTACCTTTTAATTTCTCAACATCCACAATATAAAATAGTAGAATGGTAAAAATGGTAAAAATTTTAAAAATTGCATTAAAATAATTATTTAGGCGTGGAGTTGATTGACTGGGAAAACTACCACTAGGAATGCACCTGTTGATAAATTTAGTGTGCTTAGATTCCTATCTGTCGGTTTGAGTTGCATATGTGCGATACTTTCACATGAATGCAAGAGAAAATAGATGAAAAGCTACAATAAATTATAATTTCTCATTACAGGAAAGGCAAATCAGTGCACCAAATGAGATGTTAGTAAATATTGGGAAACCAACGACTGAGAGAATAATAAAAATGTTCGGGGAGACTGCTAGTGTTGCTGTCCGTGGCAAAAGTTAACGCCGACTCTTATTACCAACTTTCTTAACATCACGCAAATGGAACTTCCACTTTTCATATATGGTGGAGAATATAGTACTAACTAACAATTGGAAATAAATTTACGGAGCAAAATCAAAAGCTCTCAAAGAATTGTAATGAGAAAGAGAATGAATATTATTTCTCTAGATGCTTTAAATATTACTTGCTCTCTCGAATCTGCTGCTAGAGAAAATTAAAATTTGACCGTCATGCTCATAAACTTTATGACAAGCAATAACATGCCCATTATAACGTCTTGTAATAAATTTAAACTGAAATACGTCTGATTTTAGAATATATGCGTTCCAGAAATGTAGAGACATTTCAGTGATTTTTAAGTTACAAACCAAGAACAAAATTATTTGGTAAAGTAATTCAGTGAAGTGAATTTTGCATTTTCTATTTGATAGCACGAACTCTCGGTAATGGCAGGCTTTTTTTCAGGAAAGACCTTCAATTGGAAGAACGTGCTTTTCCACTTACCTAGTTGGTAATTAGCAAACTTCGTGAAACTCTACCCTTTAGGGCGCTTTAGATAATGCTGTTACCTGTTCAGCTTTAAACAGGTAAGTACCTCGTTTTACGTTATCTCAGCATGTCATCTCATTTACGTTGGAAGTTGCTGAATGCTTTATATTCTAGAAGAAGTAAGCGCTTTTCAGTTTTTTCAGTTTCAAATTTCACTTTGATAAAGTATTGTTAAGGTATTAATCTGTTATGAACAAATCTTGATATAGTCTTATTCAAGGTGTTTCGTGAGGAAGCGTCATAATTTTAACCACGTATTCTAGCTCTCAAAATATCCCTAGTTTGTTTCATAATCGATAGCCTAAAAATGCTCCATTAAGGAATTACAGGGTGTTGACATTTAATTTAAAAAAATATATAATGATAAATTTCTTTAAAACGCATTGAGACACTTTAACGAGATTTTCCATTGAACAGCTTGCAAAGACGCAATAAAAAATAGCACCCCAGTGTAAATACACACATTTACAAATACTGCCACTTTAGGCACTGAGTATGCACACTGTATGCCCTACAGACTACAATAACGCGCTGTCAGTAAATGTGAAATTAATCATTTCAACAAGAAACTGGCATCAGTTTCCATCGCCTCCAATGCAAACGGTGGTTTTCGTTTAAATGTGTCCAATTCGATCCACCTACCACAAACCTAACTTTAGAAATCTAACCGCTTGTCGTAGCAAACATTTGCCAGAGAGATTTTTGATTTACAATAGAACAGGGAATTTTAAAAATAATTCTAATAATATATGTAATATAGAAATACAGTGGTGAATCATTTTTCTCTTTAACAAATTTGCTAGCGTGCAGCTACGAACGCAACTGGCAAAAATTATCTTATTGCAAAACATGCGTATTTCCTAGCTATTGATTTTGTTAAAATATCTCCATGCGTTGATAGTTTCAACTCAAATGTTCCCCGTTAACAGATACTGTTTTCGAAACAAGCTTATTCATGGTACAACAGATTTTCAAAACCAAATTATGAATAGACATAAATCAGCATTCACAATTTTGTCTATCGACACATTTATTGTGTACTGTTGGATCGCAGGTTAATAGTCTTCAATAAACTAAATGGCAACAATCAGATGGATCAGGACCAAGCTCAAAAACTTCCACAACTTGTTCACCGATTTCAGAAAGATAGATGTACAGGGTTATTGATTGAACTTTGGGAACTAATAAAAATTGCTACAGGGTGTCTCAAACTCAAGTGCTTAATCAAACTGAAATTAAAAATATTTAAATAAGGAGGACAAGAGGACCGGAATTTTATGTATAGTTCGAATATGAAATAGAAAGTGCGCGATTCCATTAAAAAAATGCAAGTTTGTACCGCCACTTGCGTTTGAGACACGCTGTATCAATTGGTATTATCTTACAATAAACTAGACGTTAATATCTAAAACTTTCGTTTTTAATATTATTTTCTAAATTTCAGATTAGATGTTGAAACGGGCTGGCCAAAATTCAATTAACTTTGGTTGCGACCAACAAATTGGTTATTACCTCAAAAACATTTTAAAATCACTATAGAACATTTATATCGGATAGGCCTAGAATTTTAGGAGTAGTGCAAATATGCAATAAAAAGTTTGACCTTCCATTTGAAAAAAGTATGTTTGGTCTGTTACTTGAATTTGAGGCACCCTGTATCAATTATTACTAACTTAAAATAAACTAGACGTTAATGTCTAGAACTTTTGTATTTAAAAATTAAAAATAAAAATGTAAATAAAAAATAAAAATTTTCTCTAATTTTGAAATTCGATGTTAAAACAGGGTGGCCATGGTTCAATCAATAACCCTGTACATACACATTTCCTCATTGCTCCTGCGAAATGAGACGACGCACGATTTTACCTTAAAATTATATTATTTTCCCATTTGAGCGTTAACTCATCAAGATATAAATATATTTATCAGAATTTGAAGAACTTCAAAATTAAATTTGATACTTAGATATGACGGTGAAATATAGAGCTCTAGAAAGCGATTGCCGGTTTATTAGCATTACTGATTTATTTCAACAATTGCGTCTAAAATATATTAAGTAAAATAAATCAAATTTAGAAATATAATTCGCCATTGGACTAGCTTTATGTACAAAATGTATTCAACTTTCTAAAATAAACGGGAATGCATGAATATCAAATTATCCCAACAATAATAAATCATCGACAATGCTATAAAATCCGTTTTTTTATGCCATATAAATGATTCGTAGCAAAACAGTGAAAATGCTGCATATAAAATAACCACATCGTATGTATGAGATACGTAGATAAATGTTAACACCCTCCAAGAATAGATGCAACACTGAGATTCGATTCAAAGTATAAAAATTTACTCCCCATAAAAACACATCGAAACTTAGACCGGCGAAGCCCCTATGCAAATATGTTCTCACTTTTTCGTATCTGATACATAAATATCGTGCGCCATTATCTGCCATTATTTCTCTACATCGTTTTATTTTCTCATAACCCATTGACGTCGATATTCTAGACTTTTTTTATAGAAGATAAAAGTTCTTAAAAAATTGCAAGCGGTCGGTTTTGATGTTATGGTTCAAAATCATATTATTTCGTATATGAAACAGATATGCGAAATTAGGTTTTAAATCGATTTCTATGCTTTTCTGATGGGTTTTCAGGGATGAAGTAACACGTAAAGTATTTTAATTGAGACGAAAATTATGAACAACATTTACACACGTATTTTGAAACCGCCAACAGAAAAATTAAATTTTCTACGATGACGAAAACCTTATAATGATACCATTATCGCTAAGAACGATTGGATGACTAAAACCCGGATCGCTCGAAGCGGGTATAGAGTTCTTCAGAAAATATTACGATGTCTAAACATCTATGATAGTGTCAATGTTTCCCCGACGAATGGCTCCGCTCTACGGTTATCACACTACTAAAATCAGATTATAGTCTCATAAGTTTAAAGAGCCACTTTCTGAAACTTTTCTTTCGAGTGCTACACACAACGCCTTACCAAAAATATGAGGAAGTAAATGGAGTCATGCAATTAGGATTTAAGCACGGATTTGGAACTAGACAAGCGACAAACAGTCTATAAACATTGGACCAAAACTGCCAACAACAAGGCAAATGTGTCTTTATGTGTTTTCACCCGTTAAATGTAACAAAAGTGCAAAATCCCGATATAAACAAAAATTCCTAGTTTACATAGAAATTATTAGCCTTTTAAGTTTCAAACTGAACTTGAATTTCCAGTTTCCGGCTTTCTCCGTGTTAAAAAATAATTTTTTATGCACCGATTTGTCCATTGTCATGTAATCGTTCGTCTTAAGGGAGTTATTCAGTTGTTCTTCGTACTTATTTGTGCTTTTGGGAGTGTTCCTTTTCTTGCAGTTTTTATTTAAGATAATGTTAGTTCTTTCCTTTCTTATATTTATTTTCAGTCTTGCTCCTACGATTCGATATCGCTTACCGTCGAGAATTTATTTAGTACATCTACGTCACTGACAATATTCCTCCGATTGCTGCATAAGAAGTCTATGGCATTTTTAGTTTTACCATCTGGCCTTATCCATGTTCATTTTTTGTTATTATTCTTTTGAAAGAAGGTGTTCATCTCATAAAGATTATTATGATGTAGAAATTCTATTAATGCAGTTCCTCCTTCGCTTCTTTCTCCAAAACCATGTTGCCCTTTACTTCCAATTTAGGCATTGAAGTCACCAATCAATAAAGTGAAGTGTGTTTTTCCACTTTCCACTTCCAGTGGATATATCTTGGGAATAGTTTTCAACCTCTTCTTCTGGGTAGTTACCCGTTGGGACG